TATAGCCGGGCGCATTCCAAATATTTTGTCCGGAAACAATTCCGTTTATTTGTTACAGCTAGAAGCTATGGAATGGTTGCCGAGTAGCGTGTATCTACCAACACATACACCTTCGGATTGGCTGAAATGGTAGGTGACCGAGGTGAACGCGATATTAAAGTAGTAGGCCCGGAAGCATATATATGGAATATATCTAAAAACATCACGAAAACTGATTTCTTCTTCTTCAGTTGCTTGTTGACCTGTTTTGTAGCGTATTTAATGAAATAACGAATAACAGTGAGTAGAAGAAAGTAAAGCTCTGAAGGATTTGGGTAAGGAACATATACAAAAAGCTCATTTTTATGAAGATCTGGAGATCAACCATTGAAGGATCTGAAACTTATCTTGCCTGATCATGCTGGTGATTCTTCATGTTTTATAGCTGGTTGAAGAAACCACATAATATGTAGGCAGGAGTTTTTACTAATGTTTTAGCCACCGCGGTCGCCTGTTTTAAAGTTTAATAGAAGCTCAAAAGTACATATGTGTTTTCTTCAAATGGCCAGGAAACATTCAGAATGGTAATCAATTGTTGTGCTGGCTTGCGTTACATATTTGTCAACCAAGGTGGGCCAATAGTTCGTAACAGCTCACGTCGTTACTTTTAATATGAAAATAACTTTGTATTAGCTTCATATGCTTCTCTAGAGATAATTTTCGGCTTACGCACTGCGTGATGTAGTGCAGTAGTACTCTATTCAGTGTAGTAGTAATCCATTCAGAAATCTTTACACAACAACAGCAACTGAAGGCATTACGGCAAACCATAAAACACATAGCTTTACAAACGTTCTCTTTATGCTACAACATTAAGTTAGGGGCTCTATAGGAATCGGTTTCAACTCCAGCGTATTTTTCATCTTGCACATAATAATAATAATAATCCGGCTTTATTTATATAAAGTATAAAAAGGCGAAGTGCTCTCTAAAAAGCGTTTTTCATCTTAACCCAACAAATATTTGTGTAAATTTTCCAATCCCAATGGAAACAAGAAAGTTAAAGAAGAACCTGTAACGAGTCCCTATTCATGGTCATCGTATACTTACTGGGCAATGAAATCTGAGATCAAACGCTTCAATTTTTTTTTTGAAATTCTTTGTAGAGTAGTAAGTGAACTCGGTAGGCAACGCGTTGTATAGCTTGGTAGTAGTATATATGTATGTACGACATTTTAAATAGAGATGTTGGATGTCTTGGGATAACCAAGATAAGCTTATTCTTTGTGTTCAGTTGATTAACGTCCGAGTATCTGATAAATTTGCTTGAGTGCTTGTGTTGTGATTACTTTATGGGTCAAGGTTAATTCGTCCATTTTTTGTAGCTCTTCTATTTTTTGTACAGCCAGCTCACGATATTTATGTGATACTGTCTCAAATTTTCTCACTCCACAAGTAAATCTAAGACAGGCATTTTGAATAGCCTGAAGTCTCCTTATCTCAATCGATCTTACTGCTGGCCCATAAATACAGTCATAGTAGTAGCTCGAGACCGGTATTCATACTTTTCCTATGAGGAAATAATTGCTTCAAGATACTGAATGATGTTCGGCACAGCTGACTAACATGTTTGTCAAACCTCAAATCAGAATCAATCCAGAGTCCTAAATTCTTGCACTGATTTTTTATAGGGATCGGTTAGTCTAAAATGCTCAATGATAGTAATGGTTTTGCCTGACCTTTTTTGATTTTCGATCCAAATATAACTGCGGAAGATTTTAACGTGTTAATTTATAAGATTATGGGCACAAGATACGTTAGATAAATTGATTAAATCATTATTAATCAAATGTGCGGCAAATCTCTAATATCAAAGCCAAAGTACAATTGAGTGTCGTCAGCATGGTGAGGAATACTGCAGTGTTCAACGTACTCGTGGAAGTCAGAAATGTAAATTGAGAACAATAATTTTCCAAGACTGGAACCCTGTGGTACTCCTAGTTTAACTGGTATCTCTTCCGAGATACTTGACCCAATCACAACCATCTGACTCCTGTCAGTGAAATAACTTAATACAAAATTAGTTGCAGATTCCGAAAAAACAAAGTATATAAGCTTTTTCACAAGAATAGATGGTTTCAGAGTATCAAAAGCCTTTTATGACCTCAAAAATTTGCTAAAGCTAGAATGGAATTGTTTTCGATAGTCATACATTTACAAATGCATATACCTTTGAGTCGGCTAAAATTTTAGGACAGCGAAATTAAAATAGTAGACATGTTGTAAGTATATAGTTAAAACCTACATAGTTTCCTTCTACCGTGTCTGGAACCTATAGGTGGCATTATCACACCACGATAGTTTTTAAGTAGACCTAGAATAGCTTGTTTTCCTTCCGTTGCATGTCGCCCACGCCTAGACATGTCACGTATTGATGATTACTAGAATCCATGAAATAATGTTGTATACGGTTGACTGAGGCTCCAACGCTGAAAAGAAAACAGGACATATTCAACCTACCTGTATTTTCACTCTGCTGTAGAGCGACAAAGCTACTAAAAACGCTAGCTAAAAACTTACGCGTGTCGACGTAGAGGTCAATAGAAGTTAACTGGTTAAGTATTGCCTCATTATCATATTATTCATGAAATTCTGATGACATTATCTGGGTAACTGTACCACGTGACATAGTCAAGCTTCTATATCAATGGGTAATCAGCGAAATTACCAAAGTAAAGGTACTGCCTAGTAATTACAAATCTCTCGTTCTCCAATGAAACTATTGTGACTGTCTGCCTCGATGAATCGGTGCAGATGATCAGATTACCAGCGAATTTAAATCATATAGTGTGCTAGTGAATAAACCGGGGGCGTGAGAATACAATAAATAAATTAATTCATATTGGATTGTCACGCAACAGCCGGAAGGCGGAATTGTATTGCGTTATCGCGAGTGTGTGACTGTTCATGAATAAAAATGATTCCTTCGATATGAGGAGCGTGGAAGCTTTTATGTGCAAAACATGCAAAATCTGTAATGCAACATAGATTTTGAGCAACTGCAACACTGGGCTATAACTGCTAGCTGCTTTTGTGTAGTTGTTTTTCGATTACCTTGGATCTGCTGGGTAACTTGGACCCTTATTCATTGCCTCAGTTCTACTTCCAGCGAAAAATAGTGTCAGGTTGGACTTCGTCAGATGAACTCACACAGGCATAGAAAGTCTCCTTGGAAACCCTCGGATCTACCTGGATTTCTCTTCGGAAAGCTTTTATTCTCACTGTCAGGCAGAAAAGCTTGTTAGCACTATTTTGTTGCTCTTTCCTGTCCGAAGTGTGAGATTCTCACTAAGATCCCTTGGTTGGATTAGTAGCTCGGTTTGTTTTATGATGTACCTTGCTCAGCAACATCAACGTCGATCTTTGTTGAATGTCATCGCATCTGGCCTCGCGTACATGGCTGTCAATGTTGTCAGCAGTGAGCCTATTGCCAAGCGTCAATTCCAATTGTTTAACGGTCAGTCGTTCAGTTAGTCATCTACCACATCTCAATAGATGAGCGGGATTAGCCTCCTTTTCGTTGGAGCAAGCGCATATCGCGTACCTTCTCTTCGATAACCTCTTTAGCTGTCAAAACGGCCATATTCTATGAAAAATTGTCCATTATGGCAATCTATTCGCAAAGTCCTTTTCTAAATCCAGGTCTTAATATCCGGAGTCTTTGCACTATAACCTGCTGCATTCCGTATCTCCTGCAATCTAATAAGGAGCACCTTGAAGTCGTTCACTGCGTTTGGCTTCAGCGCCCTTCTTGTAGAACACACATCTTTTCTCAGTCGAGCAGTTCCACGATAATGTCAACATTATAGACAGAAGAAGCTAAAGCTTACCGTACAGGACTATTTCGAGCAGTATTTTACTCTACATAGGCTACGTATCTAAGACTCCATACGTGTTCGTACCAAATACATCCCACCAGCCTGGTGTCATTACCCAAGAAGCCTCAAAGATAGAATTCCACATCTTGAGTTACACATAACTCGAAAACGCCTTTCACAAGTTTCTCATGTCATTATGATATCTGATGTTCTATAGAGCTTTCAATTTCTAGGTCAGTCCGTGACACTGAACACGCGTTTAGTATATTATATCTCGAAAACAATATGGATCTGATTCTCCCAGTTTCGGATATAATTATTGTTAGAGAGGGTTTTTAGGTACGTTAACAGTACGTTCAACCTACTGCTGATTTTATCTAGCTGTAATCTAATATTTCGATCTAACAGGGGCCGTTTTAACCTACTACATACATATTACTGCCCCTGAGCTACGATAAACTGGATCCAGGCTGTGAAGATATTGCAATTGTACAAAGATTAGTTAAGTTAATTTTGTACTCCAGTAAGAACAATTTATTAACTTATCATAAATACAACAACTTTCACACCTTCTCAAGGCAGCTAAATGGGCTTATCAAATATTTCATTTCGACATTGTTTTGTCTCTATGATATATAGAAGATATATAATTAATTACATACTTCAGCTTCTGAGCACAAGGTTAATAAGCTCTGATTTCTGAAACAAACGCGGCTAAAACGGTTGCATAGCATCAAGCTACCAGTAACGCTTTCCGAGGATCCCAGAAATATTATATAAGGTACCTAGGTCGAATATGGCCACCTTAAGGTTTCTTAACTTTTTTCTAAAATAATAAAGATAAAAGAAACAAGTCAAAGTAGTTGTCCATGAAGACTGAATATTTAACTTTATGATGAAGGCAGAAAAATACAAGGATATTAAATGATAGAAATATTTTCAACAGTTTGAAAAAAAATTGAAATTTGGCCATATTTCCGACGGGGTAGGTAAATATGCCCATATATATGTGGCCATATTTACGGTATATATTATTTTAAATAACTTCTAAATAAGTGAAATAAAAATGGACGTTAGATTTTAATACAACTTTATTTAAAAGATATTGTTTAGGCGACATCCAGTACATTATCATCGTCGTGGCTAGTCCAGACTGCACCGAGTGCATACAAATTTATCTGTATCTTCTTTTGTTAATCCAACACAGTCCTCATGGACATATGTTTCACATAAAAAGCATATTCTCATGTCTGCTATTCTGTCCTCATTGCAAACATAACAGTACCATGAATCTTTAGATCTTTCAGATTGTCCTTTACCACGTGACTGTTTAGAAACCTTCTTCGGAGTTACTGCTTCACTGTTGTTCCTTTTAGCAGAATATTTTCTTTTTTGGTAAGCCACTTTAAATGGGCCTGGTATATTTTCTATTTTTTGTTTAGGAGCATTGGATGGCCCTGACATGTTATTTTTATCTGTAAACATTGATTTTGTTAGCGCCTGTGCGAGACTATTGATAGCTTTTGCCCTCGGAGCAGTTTTTGGGCTTGACGTTTTCTCTGGAGTTTTTAACATTTGACACAAAGATGTATATGTCTCATTAAGTGTTGTGGAGCAGACTACATTTAATTCAGTGTTTGACTCGATATTATTGTTATGTTGCTTTAGTTTGGACAAAGGAATGTGATCGCTACTGTCGTAATCGTCATAAACACTTGGCAGGGGTTCTATAAAGTTCGATATATCTTCTTGATTTGGGTGCTGTGGATGATCATCAGAGGCGTTGTCTGGAGTTGCAGCACAACGCTTTGCTTGGCTTGGCTGTGAATCTGAGGAATCATTTGATGGATTTGAATTACCTTTGTCTTCATTTGGGAGAGGATAAGGAGAATTTCCACTGGCATCAGTAACGTCGTTTTCATTAGTATCTTCATTTTCCTGAGGAGGAATTAACAGATTTGTAGCGTCGCTGTCGTTAGTATCTCCATTTTCTTGATTTTCAGAAGGAGAAGCTCCAGGTTCTGCGAAATTATGAGTAGGTATGCTGGGAGCGTAAACTTCTTCTGGAATCCTATCTGGATTGAATGGGAAAATTCCGGTCGCTTCAAATCCAGCTTTGACATTAGCAGGTGTCGCAGCTTTATCCCACACTTTGGAAAATAATATCCCAAACCTTTGTTTGGTTATTTTCCTGTCCTCGTAAATAGACCAGTATTTTAAAACTTCTTCATCCCAGTAAAATTCAAAAGAACGAAATACTGATTTGTCCATGGGCTGCAATTCATGTGTGGTGTTGCTCGGGAGACAGAAAAGCTTGATATCGAATTGTTCTGCTGCTTCAACTATCGAATAGTCTAAGTGGCACTTCGCTCCATCCAAGATAAGTAAACAAGGTCCTGGCAATTTAAATTTTGCAAAATGGTGTGTCCAGTTCACAAATGTTTCAGAATTCATACTCCCTTTGGGTGTCATTTGGGCTACTGAAGCGGTGGGTAACGAATCTACCCATTCTGGCTTCATTCGTTTGCCCTTAAAGAGTATTATGGGCGGAATGACATGGCCTAAAGCGTTGCCACATGAAACTATTGTTACATTCTCGCCGTGTTCGGGTGCTACCAAATGTACTCTCTTGGATCCACGTTCAGCCAAAACTTCTGGTGATTTGTGCAAATTAAGCTGGCAACCTTTTTCGTCAATATTATAGATACGTTCCGGTTTGTTCATAAGGTCATTTTCTACTAAGATTTTCTTCAATTTACTAAAATAATCGGAAACTACTGCTTTATTCAGCTTTTGTGCCCTTGCGGGGTTTAGGTTCTGTGCTTTTCGTCTACTGATATTCCTATGACGTTTTAAAAATCCTCTCAGCCAACCTCGTCCCACCATCAAGCCTCCACTTGGCGCTGGAATGTTATTTTGATCACAGAATGTCTTCACGCATCTACGAAGTACACGCTGTGTTAATGGATATCCCACATTACACAGACTAATAATACGGGATTCCAAAATCTTTTCATCTTCAGGGTTAAGAAGTGGTTTCCGGCCCAAAGTAGATTTGGTCTCTTTGTTTTCTTGTAAATAACGTCTCAGAGTGCGTCTTGGCACATTATAATGCTTGGAAGCCGTATAAATTTTCATTTTACCACTTCTGACTGCAGCTAAAGCTAATTTCATATTAGCATCTGCCCAGTTACTTCGAAGCCCTTTACATTTATAGAGTGCCATGGTCTAAAACAAAAAACAAAAAAACGTGTCAGCAATTCAGTAAGTACTGTTAATATAGCCAAACGGTGGCCATATTTGCAGTCATCCAAATTTTTTGTTTTCATATTCACGAATGAAAAACACACTATTACTTTGATAAATATACAAAGAAATATGAAACTACAATTATTACACAACATCGTAATGTGAATAATAAAGATTTATAATGAAAACAACGTTAAAATACAGGACAATACTTACTTACTGTTTTTATAACCTCAACACTGCTTTTCACTATAATGACGGCTGAGCGGCTAACGCTTGCACGGATGGGTGACAGGTAGGCCGTTCGAATACATGCGACACTAGCGACAATTTAGGGTCGCGTTCAGCTCATAACAAACTTTCGTGTTTGGGAAAACGGTATGTGGCCATATTTACAGGCTGGCCATATTCGACCTAGGTACCTTACCTTCAAACATGTTCCAAAGTCCTCGGAGTTTCGATGTATTTTTCATGTTCCTATTGTCTTCGAATGATATAATCAAAACTCAGTCAAAAATCCATCCACCGGTTCCAGTTTTGCGTCACGGGCAAACCCCCCAGTCAGTCAGTGATATCCGTGAAATGTTCAGATCAACCATGACATGAAGGATTTGGCCAATAACGTGTTTTTATAATTCTGTTTATATCACTTTGAAAAGTGAATCTTCGTTTAGACAAGGCACGTCATAGAACTTCAGTTTTTTCATTCCCCTCAGGGAATTCAGCGAATGATCACAATTGTCAATTTTTCGAGTTACCGTTTTTCTTAGTCCGTGAACTTTTCAAAGTCTTCACACTAAGAAATCGAATTGAATTAATTCGTAAACGTCATAGGTGTGAAAAACGTGCTTAACTCATCGCAGATAAACTCAGTGCTATAAGGATTTTTTCGCTAGTCTACGGTGTAGCACAGTGCACTACCGGGAACCGATACTCGAATTTTCGAACGGGAATAGGGGAAGACCGATGTGGCGTCGACCGAATGTCAAAAAATCACGTGGTACGGGTACCCGCCTAACGTCTGTGAGGTACTAGCTGGTGGCAGGTCTTCTGTCAGTGTCGATTTAAAAAATATGCATCTCAATTGAAAATTTGTCTTCGCAGTGCCGAAAATTGAATTAAATTATTAAATCATAAATGGAGGAACACGTCCACCTGATTTTAAATGACGAGGGAGTAGGTCATCGAAGATATATGAACCGCACTTGCCATATCAAATGATTCATTTTATTGATATATATGTACATTGCACAAAAAACGATGCGTCTTTTTATTTCAGATTCAAACAAGGCAGCTAAGTTTATCAAGAAGCTCAAAGCAAACATTTTGGGCAACATGCGCCATCTAACCACTCCCGGTGTAACTTGAAACTGTCAAAACTTCGAGAGGAAGGGGAAATTCCATCTGTTCCCGCTCCGATTAACTACGGAATTGTTGATCAGTATGACAGAAAATATCGGGAAATGCCGTATGGTTGCCAGTCCGTGACGGGGCAAATTACTATAAGCTAACATTATGCGCGCAATACGATATTCGTCTGGCTTCTGAGTATTATCTGCCTACAATTTCTCTTCTACAGTGTATTGCCGTAGATCTGGCTATGGATAGTGTGATTGTCCGTAGGTGGTAGTCGGTCTCTGATTCTCGTACGCGGAAGTACCACCCGGCGGCTCTCATAGGCGGGGCCAGAGTCTAGAGAGACTAGACTCCGTGTGGCGTCCCCCCCTTTCCCCTGTATCCCCCTATAGCCGCACGGTACTCCATAGGTGTTTAGGCATTAGGCTTTCATGGTATCTGGAGTATATAAAAAAAGGACCTCCATACAGCATAGCCGAGTTTGTCACTCTAGCCGAAATCTTACGTCTCTTGTTACTGGATCCACCCTCAGATGGCAGTAGTTGAATCAGGGATACAACGTGCTTAACCATTTTAAGATCTATATACACACTTCCAGACATTTAAACCTTATGAAGTTAGCTTCTATCTGACGTAAAGTATAACTGGATTGTGGAATAGAAAACCTATGTGATCATCTCTTTGATCTACCTCAAGAAACCCATGGAAAAATACAATCTATACCAAAGTTTTAGCAACAGAAACATGTTGGGTCAACTGGTAGACAGTCCTAGTCTGATATATTTCTCTGTAAATGATTTTTAATATAAACTGCATTTTCTAACCCGTGGGTTGAGTGGGATATATAAGAGAGTTTCACTAACTTTGCAGTTCTTTTTCTGATATTTGAATGATTCGATATCTGAGATAATTGAAACTTTAAAAAAATGTTCATCATACAAATTGCTCCACAATTTTGACACACAGAAATAAAGAAACGGTCGGACCTGCCAGCTTTCCTTGTTCCGAATTCGACAGCTAAGATAACAGGAAGAAGTCTGGCGGTTAGGCAAAAAAATCGTAACATCAATCTTCTGAACGACTGTCGACGTATTAAGGCCTTGACTTTGTAACTGCCTAGGAACAAAAATTCTTGCATTAACTAGATTTATTACTGCGTAAGAATAGCCTTAATGCCTAACGATGCGGCAGAAATTTCGTTACACACACATTGGTTGGTGACGTAACAGCTTGAAATAATTTTGCGTAGGGCCGATTTAGCGTCAGCCTGTAGGCCATATTTTACCTTAAATGGAGAAATTGATATCCCGAAATCGACCCGAAATACTCTCTGAATCCACATTTCGGGTTGTTATGAACATTACTATGGTGGTGGAACACGATCTCGAGTGCGATTTTAGAATTTATACAGAAAGGTACAGCATTGGATAAGGGTTCCAAGAAAAAGGAATTGGGAGACCTAAGCTTTTCAGGACTTTGGAACTAGAGAAATTTGGTTTTGATGTTAAAGTTCCGCTGGAGCCTCAATGTCAACTCCATATCAATTTTGCGGCATATTTAGTTTGATTTATGTGCCAAAACGGCAGTTATTTGACTTACACAGATTCAGAAAAACATGACAATATTTCTGGCTTATAAAACAGATCAAAAATAATTCGAAAAGTATATACAGTACAACCTCGTTAATCCGAATAGATTCGGACCACCGAGCATTCGGATTATCAAATTTTCGGATTATCGTGAAACTAGTGAAAATAATAAATTTAGACACAAGTATTAAAAAATAAACTTTATTCTTTTCAACAAAACATAAATTTAACAAACCAAGGACAGTGGTCAGTTAAATACTGCACGTAAAACAAAATTAAACTTTCTCCTTCAAAAAAACTTAAATTAACATTCATATGTATTTATATGAGTACAGTACATACATAATTATGTATACATAAATCTATTGGGTAAAGAAATCAGTTATTACAGTTTGCTTATGCGCCTTAAAGCGTAAATTCACTGCTTTTTCCTGTAACTGGCGAAGAATTAGCAGTTCTGGACCGCTTACACTGTTCTCTGTCGCCCACTCTATGCAAGTAGTAAAACATCGCACGGCTTCACCGTGACTCACAACTGCTAAATTTTCATAATCTTCAGCGTCTTCAGGGGTGTCATCGTTGTTGCCGCTTAATGCAATGTTTACCAAATCTTCATCAGAAAATGTTATTTGCTCATTTTCAGCTGCGTCGCCCAAGGCCCATGTTCTAACTTCATTCGCTGCAAGATCCGGTCCTGATGAGATGACATTCATCAGAACCGTCATTTCTTCAAATTCTCGCTCATCTGATATCGCTCTTCTCCTTAGTTCTGCTAATGGCATCAAGTCTTCTTCGTCATCGTATTCATCGCCCAAATTTTCATGGATATTTAAAGGCCTAAGCTTTTTCCATGATTTTTTTATTAATTCAGTGCTGACGTTCTCCCACGACGTGTGGAGATTAAAAATTGCATTTTTTAAATTAAAACTTTTTAATGCTTCTGCAGGTTCGGTATCATCAGCAATTAAATGAAGAAGAAGCTGCTTCCTGTAGTGCATTTTAATAGCTTGAATGACATGTTGATCCATCGGCTGCAACAATGGGGTACAATTTGGTGGCAAATATAAGACACAGACTAGACCATCTCTGCTCCGCAGTTCTTTTTGTTCGGGATGGCTAGGTGCATTGTCCAGCAGCAAAAGAGCACGAGGAGGTAAACCGATTTGCTTTAAATGAGCTTGCACTGAGGGAACGAACTCTTCATGGAACCATTGCTTGAAAAGTTCTTGATTCATCCAAGCAGATCTCTGATTTTTGTAAATCACGGGCAACTTATTTCGACAGTTTTTAAATACTCTAGGATTGGCAGCTTTTCCAATTGTGAACAGCTTTAATTTGTGAGATCCGGATGCATTTGCACATGGCATGAAAGTAAGCCGATCCTTGCTTATCTTTCGTCCCGGAGCTGAGTCTTCGTCTTTATGTACTAATGTCTTATTGGGTAGCGCCCGCCAAAATAGCCCACTTTCATCGGCATTATACACTTGTTCCGGACCCAAATTCATTTCCCGCACTTTATTTAGAAATAGTTTTTGAAATGGATCAACTGCTGCAAAATTGCTCGAAAGTTTTTCTCCCGTAACGGTTAACTGACGAATTTTAAACCGCTTTTTAAAATTATCCAACCAACCAGAACTTGCCGCAAAGTCCCGTAATTTCTTCGTAAAAAAATTTCGCCTTTTCTTGCAGGATTTCGCCCGAAATGTTCACATTTTTGGTCCTCTGCTGCAGGAACCACGTGTACAACGCCGTCTCTACATTGGGGTGCTTGGCCGTCTTCAAAGTCAGATGTGTTGTTTGTTGTTGATGAGAATTCATGTATTCAGCAATTTGGGTCTTCTTTTTCTTTATATCTGTGATGGTTGACCTCCCAACTCCATATTCTGCGACGAGCTGCACTGGACTTCGTCCGTTGTCTAATTTCTGAATTATCTCATATTTCTGCGCAAGGCTAAGTGTCTTGTGTTTCCTCTTAGACATGGTGCACGAATTATAACTATATTTCAAACGCGTATTAACTCTAGGCACTAAGAACGCACCGCACTCGAAACTAACAGCCTATGTACTGAGAAGTTCGACAGGCTATGACACGATTTTTCGGATTATCAAGGTATGACGCAATACGATTTCGGATTGTCGAGGAACGAAATTATTTCGGACTATCGCGATTTCGGATTAGCATGTATTCGGATTATCGAGGTTGTACTGTAAATACATATCCTAAATCACCTCGTAACCGAGTTACAGGATGTTGAAATTTCAAATTCAAAATCGAAAACCATATATTAATAAATCCGCTTTCGGAGTTGATGAAGATATTGACTCATCATTTTGTACATGTTTGAAGTACTGAGTACATCATAGCCAATATATAAAAAATCTATTATTATCTAACACCACACCAATTGTGGGAAAAGTAGTAAATTTTGACCCGTACACAAGAAAGAAGAAAAGTATTTCCTACGCCACTGACTCTTTCTCCCTTCGACGCTGGGCGAAAAGGCTTTGCGGTTTTAGAAAATCGGTTCAGAGGCGGTGGAGCTAGGGACAAAAACAAAGATCGCTCGAACTTCGTTTTTTGACGTTTCAGATGCTCCTGATCATTTTCAGGAAAACTTTTGTAGGGGTTGAACTTCGACGGTTATGGGTTGTAGGTGGCGAGGGAGAGTTTACGAATTTTTTTGATGTCAGTGTATTTATACGCTCCCAGCCCCGGTAATTATACGCACCTATTAGCACACATCATTGATTACATTTGCTTTCATAACTTACAATGATACAGCAAGCGTTGTCATTCCGCGTGTTTCCGCTATGTAAGCTCACCACTCTCCGTACCGGTCCGGCTGACTAGTCTATCCAAACTACAGCGCATAAAACATACGCGGAGTGAACAGTAACTCAATGCCGTGCTGGGCCCTGCCGGTGGGGCAGGGAAAGAATAGCTATACACTAATTGAAGCCTCAAGTGGATGGAGGTGTCATATAACATTTATTGAAAAATCGGTTTTTAGCATTAAACTAACCTTAAGGAGTGATTCTTCCATTCTATGATTTGTTGCAAAAACAAGCTATTAACGAGCTAATTAAACTTAAGTATTTAAAATGTCAGTAAAATAAAAATGCTTAGAGTCAATTTTCTCCATTAAATTATTTTATCACATGACACCTTTATCCACTGTGCCTTCAATTGTATGACTGTCTTGATCTGTTCAATGTCTCTGCTGTGCATGTTAGTAACTGACCCTTCTCTTAGGCGATTTAAATTTCGCTGAACCTAATCAATTGAATTTTTGAGTAAACTGTTCGACTTTAAACGAGACGCTTCTATCATCTCTAATGTGAGCCCGGCCATATATGATGATGTGCAAAGCCGTTTCACGTACTTTGTTTGAATTTTGGAAGTTTGGAATTTGCGGTAAAACATCAGCGAAAACGCGAAAAAGGAATCTGAAGGGAAGTACCTACTATTAACTGGATACGGAAATTAAGGTTCTGCCCTGTCACATGTTTTGCTCGAAAATACTTCTTGAAATTGTGGACCGTCCCATTCACACGTTTACTAGCTACCTTCTAGATTTGCGAAATTTGGAACTGTCTAGTTGTCCTACTGGGTCAACCTCGGCAACATTCGCATGATATAAACAAAGCTAAGCTGCTCTTGATAGCATATTGTATCCATTCACGATAAATGGTTGGTCGACCTAGCCCATCCAATTGTTTTCGAAAGTTAACATTTGGTTATTTTAAGACTTTGATATACGTGTTATCAGGGAAATTTAATTGTTGTTACATGAACTATATGTTATGTAAGGTTCCAACATTAAGGAAGCCATCTATATTTGCGACAAGTGCCAAACACAACAAGCTTCAGTAGCTCAAGACATATTCCAGTGAGCTGTGTTACACCTTGTATGCGTGTAGGTACGTCATGTGATATACACGTACTTCAGACTCCGTGTTGTATCAGATTATGTCCATGTAAACCTGATGGATTCCCGTTTGTCCGCGTGTACGTTGCAATATGGGAATAGAGGGAACCGCATGATTGGGATATTGGGATACACCGCTCTCATTTAATGTACGAATACGTGTATCACACCCAAATCAAATAACCTAGTGTATGAATACTATCATGAAAAACGACTTATATGTTTAAGAAGCCAGGTATTTCAATCAAAATTACCCCAACGTCTTCAAAAAATAGTACATTTTTTCAAAATTCTGAAAAACTTGCTTGTTGTGGGAAAGTCGCGGAATTAGATACTTAAATATTCCATGAGTCCTTGTGTTTAGAATATTTAGAAAGAGACTACATAGCCTTTGTAGTGTTCTAGATATTGTTCGTGTTGAAAAGATACGGGAAACTATCCCATGACCAAGGTTGCCAAAAAACTTGTTAGGTTGATATGCGAAACGAGCTTATGCCTTAATAAGCTCTACGGATCATTTGAATCTAGTCTGTCTGAAAATCATTTATTTCCTTGAGCAAGGCTTATTTGTTACTAATACAAGAACTAACACTATTGTAGATCTTTTCACTTATAGTACTTATCTATCGATAGCTGAAGAAAACGCGAAATAGCCTAGAAAGCCAGCTGAGCTAGTGCTGCATCAAAGCTACAAGCTATTCTGTGTGCTTGGTATGAATCGAGCAAAGTCAATACTGTAGTTATCGTATAGACATTGCTATAGATTCTTGCTGATAACCACAACTGCTTCCTAGAACTCACAGAGTGTGAATAAGCCATTGTCCTTATGTCTCTTTGCAAATGTAGGTACAAGGCAAGTGTACAGCTATAAGTTCAAATCAATTATTTTTGAACCTGCTGGCGTGTATAACATTAGTTTTCCTCGAAACGATTTGTCTGAGCAGTCATTTTTCGATAAATAATATAATAGGTATAATATAAAATAACATGATATACTGACACGATAGCATGGATTTCTAGATTCATGGAAATGTATCAATATAGATGTGGGACGCTATTTTCGTGTGGTCGCTAGATATATACCGGGTACCAGAAACTAGGGGCACGATTAGGATTTTTGTTTATAGGTTGTGGTAGAAAGTAAGGCTAGGAACGCATATGTGGGCAAACTGAAATAGCTGTAGTTTTTCCATTATCGTTTTCAGGCTATGACTTGCAGAATTTTGTTCTGAAATCAGCCTTGTATATCTACTATTGACGTTGAATTACTGAAGTAACTGTTAATTCTCAAGATTGCGTTTGGAAATACTGCAACAAAATATAAGCCTAGGAATATCTTCCCTCCCATCTCATATATTGCAAATTTACCGTAAGCCCTATTCTTTCCTCATTCTAGTGATATTGATACTAATTTATGCTCCGTTCCTACCGGAACTTGACATAAGTGGGAGCTACCAAGGCAGCCTACTTGGCACCATTTCCAATTTGGCGGTTACCTACCTGTTCCTTGTTTCTTAGAATCATGCTTAAACCCATCTACATTGGTCGCATTTTCAAGAAATACCCATATAATATATCCCGTCCTGCTCAAAAATTCACTACAGTCCTCTAAACAAACCGATGTTAAATTGAGGTAATTATGCTCTCTGCCCGGACTAGTTTTTTTTTTTTTTTTTTTTTGGTGAGGGGGGAATGCGTTTTAGCACCATACCATAGCCCGACCTACGGCTTGTGTGGGACTCCAGGTTGTCCACCTAATACCCACTAAACCCTAAACCTCCGCGTGGCCCGACTAATCAGCGTCTCGGTAGGCCATGTGTTGTGCGTGACCTGCGGTCTGCTACAACGTCTCCTCATGTGTTTCAGTCTCTGGGAACGCCGGGTTGGTTCCCTTTACCTCGCACCTTCTATCGATGTCGTTAAGCGATCATCGATAGAGGGTCTGCTAGGTTCTCTTGAAACTCTTGTTTTCGAAAAATCAAGAGTTTCAAGTCCTCTTACCAATATGTTGTTCCTGGTCCTGGTCCTGAAGGGTCCTGGCCCTGGTGGGTCCTGGTCGTGGCGGGTCCTGGTCGTGGCGGGTCCTGGTCCTGGTTGGTCCTGGTCCCGGTGGGTCCTGGTCCCGGTGGTTCCTGGTCCTCTGCATCCACGTCGTGGGGGGGGGGAGCAACCGCGGGTTCTCCTAGTCAAGGTTCCAGTTAGCGGGTGCCATCTGGCACCTTGGTCTAGGGTACCTGGTTCTGCGGTTGCGTGGCCTCTCGTCCGGATCGTAGTCCATGAGGAATCGTAGCTGCTCGTTCGGGTGGTCCTGAGCTGAGCTGAGGCGTAAGCGAGCTGAGGTCTGGCGATGGCCTTGATCAGCTGTAGCTTGGTCGCTAGCGGCATCCGGCTGTGTCTACCCAGTAATGGGTAGAGTTGAGCCATGGCTGCTCTGGTCTTTGCGATGACAGCTTCTGTGTGGGCTTTCCAGGTGAGGGACTTGTCAAATACGATCCCCAGATATTTGACTTTGTCGCTCCACTGGATATCTTCGTCGAAGATGGATGCTTCGAGAGGTCTTGCAATCCTTCTTCGTTGAATGAAGATTGCCTGCGTCTTCTGGACGTTGATGCGGATTTTCCATTTCACGCACCAGTCCTGGATGTGGTCCAGTTCATCCTGTAGTCTCCTACGGATGATCTCGGGTCGTCTATGCTTGGCGGCTATAGCAGTGTCGTCTACACACAGGGCCAGCATTGTGTCAGCTGTCTTCGGCACATCGTGAGTATAGATGTTGTAGAGCAGGGGGGCTAAGGCTGACCCCTGGGGTACGCCTGCTTCCAGCTGTCGTCTTGTTGAATGGCATGTACCAATCTTCACCGTGAACCATCTTTGTGTTAGATAGCTCTGGATCAGTTGGCACATGTTCGCATCGATTCCGGCGGCTTCCATTTTGGCGATGAGCCCATCGTGCCAAACTCGATCGAAGGCTCGTTCCACGTCCAGCAGGACGAGACCGGTTGCCTCCTGGAGACTGAAGCCGCTGGTGATGTTTTCCGTCAGTCGTAGCGCTTGGAGTTCCGTGTTGTGGGAGGATCTGAAGCCGAATTGCTCTGGGGGGAGAAGTTGCAGTTCTTCTTCCTGCTTCTCTAGTCGAACGGCGATAGCCTTTTCGACTACTTTGCCCATCGAGGAAACCAGGCTGATGGGCCGGTAGTTCCGGGGCAACTTCCGGTCCTTGCCTGGTTGGTGAGCATTATAACCTGGGCTTCCCGCCACCGCCGCGGGAAGTGGTTAAGTCTCAGAGTGGCATTGGCGATGTTGGTGAGCGCAACAATGCCTTTGGTGGGAAGATTCTTCAGCATCCTAATGTTGATGCCGTCCCTTCCCGGCGCCTTTCTGACCTTCAACCTGCGGATGATCAGACGGATTTCCTTTGGACTGGAGGGGTGATCCGTCTCCTGGCCAGGTGGTCGACTCCTCATGATTTCGGCTGCGACTTCCACGGCCTCCTCGTGGTTGTCGTCCTCGTGTTCATGCTAATTGAGTCTGCATTCGGATTCTAGCGAATCGGCGAATGCTTCGGCTTTTTCTTCACTGGAGTAGGCCAAGCCGCGTTGGCCGTGAAGAGTGGGGATCGTGGTGCGCTGACGACGGAATTTTCGCTGCATAGTCCAGGCCGTACCATCCTGGCTCTCTAGTTCTGCACAGGCTGCATTCCATCTGCTGTTTTGGAGTTCCGCGAGTGCGTTCTTCAGAGCTAGCGATGCTCTGTTTCGCGCAACTCTCGACTCCTCTGTCAACAGCTGGAGATGTTCTCGCTTGAGTGTTCTATTCTCCCTGATCAGGTGCCTAATATGGTGCGGTGCTGGACCATTTAGGTGTCTAGGAACTGCCGTAGTCTCGGAGCGGGTGCTGTCCTCGTGCGCTCGCAGGACAGCATTCTCCAGCTCCTCTACCGCGTTGTCCAGTTCCTCCGCTGATCGGATGGTTGGAATTTCAGTGATGTTCCTTTGGACGTTGGATTTGTACAGGTTCCAGTTCGTCCGTTTGGTGCTCAAGCTATCTCGAGTTCTAGACCCTGTGCCAAGTGTTAGTAGAATCGGATTGTGGTCCGACGATCCTTCCACCAGGGTCTCTATCTCGAACTCCTCTCTGATGTTGCGGAGGATGGCTATGTCCAGTACCGCAGGTCGCCCGAGGCCGAATGGAATGTAGGTTGGTTGCTCCGGACCGACGATGACCCCCGCCAGGGCATCGACGTGTTCTTGGAGCTGCCTTGCATTCCTGTCTTCGACGTTGTTGTTCCATGCCGGAGATTTGCAGTTTAGATCTCCGATGACTATGCGTGCTCCTGGGCCTCTCAGGAGGTCAGCGATGTCATCTTCGTCTAGGGCCTCCCCTGGTGGCACATATAGGGAGGTGATCCTGTAGGGACGGTGGTTGTGATGGACCTGGACCGTGATTCCGTCCCCATTGATGTCTGCGGCATCGTCGAGGACATAACTTGTCAAGGTACGTTTGACGAGTAATGCGACTTCTCCACCTCTGCCTCTTCTGTCGTAGCGGTACGTCTCGTACCGCGGGAACGTCAGACTATGGGCAGCATCCAATTTCATTTCTTGGATGGCCATCACCTCTGGTTGGTACTGGTCTAGTATCTCCTGGATTTCTGGTTTCCGCGCCCTGAATCCGTTGATGTTCCAGGAGATAATGCGTAGAGATTCTACGTTTTGCCCTGTAGTCATTTCGGGTCTAATGCTTGTCTTGCATCTTGGCCTCGAGTGCATCCAGGCGGGTTATGATGGCTTGCATCATTGTTAGCAGTCTGTCATCGCCGTGTTGCTTCTGCGCAGTAGTTCCAGTAGCAGTGGCGGCTGCTGGGGCAGAAGTGGACATAGGTTTCTTCGCTTTTTGAGCGTAAGAGGTCCTATTTGTGGTTTAGACTAGTGGGAGATATCCAAATAATTTGTATAGCGCTTTTTTTACTTTTACGATCTATTGATGTGCCTCTGTTGCCTATTTCTGCCATTACGTCCAAAACCCTCTTGATTGGCCTTTAATGTTTGGTTCAGAATTAGCTTAGAGTACTTACTACTACTCGTATCTTAAAATTGCTAATCCGGTAGACTTCAAATCTAAAAAAGTTTGTTGTGAGCCCAAATTATCGTGAGGTTCTAGGCTTAATAATAATAACTATTTAGTGTGAAGTGATTGACACAATTTTCCTTTTCATGATATATTGCCACGCACCTGTCAAATCACTGAAGTAGAAGTTAGGCTTCAAGAAGTACCTACGTTAAAGGCTTGAGGCAAATTCTTCATCATAGAATCATTGTTTACAAATCATAATCCCCTTGCAAATTTGCAGCAAATTCTAGTCGTTTCTTATTCTGCTAATATACCTCCGGGCCTTGATATCTTTCTGGTCTTTTCCAGTTGTCTTGTACTGTAATAGATTTATCTATTTCGGGCTTTTGCGCCCTTAGTAACATGACTTGATTTTAGGATTATTAACTTGATTCTGTCTAGAAATGGATATATTGAGGTTCTGCAAGATACGGTCATTTCTGTGTTTAGAATATACAATAGGAAAGCAGGATTCTAAACTACGTACTAATTCCTAGTTCCTAACATCTTGATTACACTGTACATGAATAATAACGTTTCGTCCTATTTTTGTGAATGATTATCTCCTTATTGCCTTTTACAATTTTGACATTTGGAGACATGTCTTACAACTAAATATGGACCCGAAAAACAACCCCAGTTCCATTTTTGACTAAAACTTTGTCCCCTTTATTATGAACTATAGGATTAGCTGCTTCATCATAAGCCACTTTTCTGGCCTTTATCATTTTCACTAAATTTGCCCTTGTGTTATCGTAAGCTCTTTGTAATCTGTATTTTATCTCAAGTTGATAGTTATCGAAATTATACATTGACTCTACAGTGTGGCTTATATTGCTCGGAATTTGACATGTTCTACCAGAAATAGGTTCAAATGGGGTGTACTTAGTTTCTATGTGAACAGTAGTCAAACACCACTAAGGAATCCATATGCTCAGAACTGAAACATTATTATATGCTTGGGCTCTAAGATATGCGCCTAACACTTTATGTGAATTTTCTAATGCGCCTGTAATTTCGTGATGGTAAGCAGTAGATGTGATGTGTTTTACTTTTAGCAATAAAGCAGCTTCTGTCATGGTGGAAGAGACGAATTCAGTAGTGACTACCATGGGTTCCTTAACGAAGTGATTTGAGTATTTCATTTTCTGACAGCTATCGCATTTTTATACAAATTTCCGAGCGTTCGCGTCGATACCGGACCAACAATAATATTGTTTGATGGTGTTTACCATCCTATTCATGCCTGCGTGTCCACTAGTCGGAAGTAAATGAAAGTCATTCAAAATTATTCTTCTTTCATCACTGTCGACAGTTTTTCTCACACACGTATACGGGGAAAGAGCCAATTATTAGATTTGTTCATTTCCTTTAAAAACCATTTCATTATGCTAGCATTATTTTCATTTTTCAAAATTACCAATTGGTCAATAATATTTGCTTTACTACACATGTCAATCAAATCTCTCAAAATTTCGTCAAGCGCCGGTCGATCAAGGATTTTGGTTCACATGAGAAGGTACGTAATATAAATCTCCCGACTGTAATGTAATACTTTGTTTATATCTCTTAATTCCTTTCAACGGCGTAAAAATTAGTTTAGTGCCATCTTTAGGTTTTTTGAGAGTGTCTACCATAATATAGTACGCTTTATGTGCAGAATATACTAAGTCTGGTCTAGTATCAAACTAATTGACAACATTTTCTCTTTTACGATCCACATCCACTTACCTGTCACTATTTTTCCGTTACTGCCTCCTGTTCCTATGTCTTGGTCACAGAATTTTGGTTCAGAGTCAGCCTTATATATCTGCTGAAAATGCAAAACTGCTTTAGCAGAAATCAAGTCTCAAAGTGTACCCAAGCCTCAAATTGCAAATTCTGCAGCACAATTTTAGCCTACGAATTGTCGTCCCTCTGCCCAGAGATTACAAATTTGTCGCAAATCTTAATCATTTCGGGTATGCCTCCTTGCTTCATAATGTTAATTTGCTCGATGTTTCTCTGCCTGACACTACTGTGCCTATATTTCGACATTATATCCGAACTCCTCTACACTGATCCCTCATTTTTGGGCCAGAATCAGCCTAGCATAACTACAATACAAACGCTAGAATTACTGGTGCATACATTAAGTCTAAGAAGGTCCTTTCAGGGTCTAACTTGCAAATTATGCAGTATAAGCGCACAAACGGTGATTCTAAATTATCTTTCCGTACTCACAGATTGCAAATTTACCGCAAACTCTAATTGTGTCTTATTTTAATGATATGTCTCCAGGCTTTAAGCCGATGTTAATTTGTGGACGGGCGGCCTCTATGTAAATTAGCGGATTGGATTAAAGTAGTTGTTGTAGGTTGAGTTTTCCGGCTATCCAGGGCAAACTGGATTCTGGTATATTGTTTCTAGCTGCGGCTGAAATAAACAGGATAGAGCTAATCGCCTTGACGCAGTGTGCCGTAGAACTTTCTCTGCTAGTGGCGTGCGGCTTATCCTCGTTATGCAAAGACAAATGGGCTTAATGTTCACCCATATTCCAGCATTTTCTATGCAGATGTGATAGAAACAAGCTTAAAGCTGTGCTCCAAAGTTCTTTTTGGTAAATCAACATTTGACCACGTGGCGTCATTTTCGATAAGCCGAATTCAAATATCTACCATTGTAGTAGAAAACTGATTAACGCATAATATCATTTCCTTTAAAATATGATAAGTCCCAGATAATACGTTGGTAGACACTTTTTGAATATTTGTGACTTTGAGTAAGTTAACTAGAACTCATCCGTATACCTGACCAAGTGTTTCTGAATTCAATGTACAACAAAACAGTTTTTAACAAAACAGGTTTTAAATTGACCTCGACGATGATTAGTGGCTTTTTCAAAAACGATGAAGTTCTTAGCATTAGATATTACAAGATAGGAGAATCTCTTGATTAATTCTAGCATCTATGCTCCTACAAAGTCTGAAAGCATGTCTCCAAGGTTCAAGCTGATGTTACGCACTGGGTTTTAAATTGCACCAGTTCGTGTGAGGAACTTGACTGACAAAATTTCCTTCTTAGAATTCAGTGCCACAAGCCAGTCACCATTTTTTCACTACTGCGACCTGCTACCTTGTCTTTGGTATTGAATCCTTGGTTCCGAGTTATCTTTGTACAATTAGCTTGCTTTTAGACTACTACAGTAGAGATTAAGTCTGAAGATGTATCCACGTCAAATACCTTAGTTTTCAAATTCTGCCCACAAAATAATATTGAAATTAATATTGAAACATATCAAAATGTTTCCTCTTGCTGAATTCCCTAATTGCTTCATTTAGTAGGTTCACCAAAAACAAAACAAAAAACTAATTATTGCGGTAATCCAAGTGCCAAATGACGCGACCCCTAATTTTGAAGTGTCAACGCTATAACAACAAACAATGGACAAAAGGCATTCGAGTATTCCACAGTAAGCCCGAATGGCACAAAACGAGTAAAAGTAATTATCACGGCGATGGCGAGACGCAAAGGCAAAGCGAAGTGGCCCATATCCGACCTCAAATTTCCCATATTGTCATGTCCAGAGAACGGAGAGAGAGGGAAAGGAGGGAGCGAGAGGAAGACAATTAGTGATGAGCGGTATCGGTGTTTGAATTACGCTGAGCTGGTGATATGAGTGGTTTTAAAACATGATGAAATCGTAAGGTTTTGTTAGTTGTTATAACACTTAACTGGTTATCTAGACTTATCATTCATCCAAATCCTGTTTCTTCACTGACCTTCGATTATGTTTCATTACTTGTAGTATTACCAGCTTTATACCTGTATAACACCTCAGTGTTTCCGAAACATTGTGCATAAATTCAGTGACTTGTCAAAAGCTCTATTTTGTTCTCTGACCGCGACTTTTTGGAGCTGCAAGACTCTCAAGGACGCGACTGAAAATCGGTTTTTCTTGATAACTGTTGAACAGCATTGTATAACCAAATGAAGTTTTGATATCATAGCAAAGTAAAGCCGCTATTTTTTTGGACAAATGGTATGGTGCTTACTTGATGACATCTTTTATGTTCAGACCACTCGATTAGACGTCATGGGGCAGTGTTCAAGCGAGCAACGTTTAATTATTGTGAAAACTCACTACAAAAATGGAGAAAACTTGGAACCAGTTCGCAAATTACGTACAACTTTCGGTCGCAATAATGCACCAAATGAGTCGACAGTTCGCCGTTTAATTACAAATTTGAGATAAAATTCACGTTGCCGCATGTGAAGACTACTCTTCGTCGCCGTCCAGGTCGGTCCCTCGAAAATATAGTCGCACTGCGGGAAAGTGTGGCCGAGAATCCAGGCACTTCCATTCGGCATCGTGGCTAAGAATTGAACCTTACCAGACCCACTCTTCAATGACTTTTGACAAAAAAACTGTGCTTGCATGCATCAATTCGTTGATTTGGCGCTGGAGCACCACCAAATTGATGCGGATTTCACGAAGAAAATCATGTTCTCTGATGACGCACATTTTCAGCTGAACGGGTACGTCAATAAGCAGAACTGCCGAATTTCGGGTTCTGAAAAGCCTGGTATAATAACCGAACAACCTATGCATCCGCCGCGAGTTACGGTTTGATGCGCATTGTGGAGTGGCGGAGCGATTGAACTGTATTTCTTCGAAAATGCAGCTGGAACTGCGGTAACTGATAATGGTATGCGGAATAGCGAAAAGTTAATCGATCTTTTGTGGCCCCAGTTACATCGAATTGATGTGGAGGATATGTTATTCCGACAAGTCGGTGCGACTTGCCACAGAGCACGCGAAACAATGGTGTTACTGCGGACCAAGTTTCCAGACAGTCATCTCTCGGTTTGGCGATCAAAAGTGGCCACCAAGATCGTGCGATCTAATGCGAATGAACTTCTCCCTCTGGGGCTATGTGAAGGAAGATGTATATGCGAACAAGCCACAAACAGTTGAACGCCTTAACGAAGAGATCCTGCGCGTTATCTTAAGAAAAGACTGACCCTGTGCCAGAGGTTTCGTGGTCGCCATCTACCCAACGTCTTATTTCACCTTTAATCGCAACTATTCCTCTTCATGTTGAAATATAAATACTCGCTTAATTCGAAAAGCAATTGTGTTTTTCTTGAAAACCAAATCTGGCGCTCTTATTGAGATACCCGTGCCCTAGTATTGAGCGAAAACAACTATTTCATTCAGATTCGTTGGGAGCGCAGTATTCAAACTAAATATTGCTATTTTGTTTGTATAATAATAATGGTTCAGAAACAAGAACTTGAGTTTGCCTCAGAACAGTATCATTTAGTGGTGCCTTGCCGATTCGGATGCCCATGTTGATGTGTCATCTTTTGAAAACATAGAAGCTTTAGATTCGTAATGAGCTAGAGTGGAAGGCCCGGCTTAAATTCTTCTGATCTGTTTACCACGCTTTAGCGTTTGTCCAGCATTTGGGGTTTGATTGCAGTAAAATCGATGGAGGAAGCATTAAAGCGGTTCATTTTATCGAATAAATGCCATACATATTGTCAGATAAGAGTGCAGAGGCTTTCCAGAAATATGCCTTTTGAGCCATATATGTCTAAACATTACAGCACTATGGTGGGGCCAGTCCGTCCCTGACAGTCTAAGCATGTTAATTGTTTTCCATAGACTCCACGATGTCAGACCTCAACAGGTTTCTATGCTGTCAAAATTTTATCATGCAATAACCACTTGAAAAATAATTCGCAATGAGTTATTCTACACAGAGTATCATAATAGCCCTAGAATAATTTGAAAATCAATCTTTGTACTTATTCTCGTTGTATATTGTAATTACCAAATAATAGTGTCAAGTGTGTGAAACCAATTTATCTTTTAAATTTCACAAGGCGACGTGACGTTGATTTGATGCACTCACGGGCAGACAAATTGCACATCGTCCATACGTTTGAGTACAAGTTTTGGTTTCACAAGTTTTTCATACTGTCAGATCAAAGATGTAAATGCATGACTTTTAGGTCGGTAATGGATACTTGGATTGCAGCATGTCGCGCTTTTATCCGACTTCTGTTATAAGCCGTGATTCGTGATTTATATACATACACTATACACCAGTGACTGAATCACAGTTCGTGAATTTTTACCCCTCTCTAGCGAGGGATAGTGTTGTATTCGGTGGCCGCGTGTACGCAACGTTATCTCTGTTATTAATTAACCTTACATACAGGCGGCGAACGTAAAATGGCGGACGTAATCATAATGCCCGGTACAGCCTGGTTTGAGCGAAGGTAAGCCGCATATTGGAGTGATGTATACGAGCAGCTCACTCGGCACCTCGTTGTCCGTATTAAATTTTACTAATATGCATCTACTGGTGTGCATGAACATCGAATATAGGTGTAGGTATATCTGTCGAATAACGGTGGGTGCATTTCAGTGGATTTTGACCAAAGTCAAGCCTGGTCATAGAAAGGAAGGTGAATCATGTGGCGTAGGTATGTGGTATAAGGTAGTATAAATTACGTCGCAGAATCTTAGCATGCTGTTCATACTGGGAAATGCGTGTAGTAACATTGTAAGAGAAACGTGTGTAATTTTTAGCAGAGCCACTTCAATCTGAAAGCAGCTTCAGCCGAACTTTTCAACGCATAGCATAGTCAGTTTATGCCCTGTGATAAAGGTCACACATTACTGAATAAAATTTCTCATGAATTTGAATAAAAAACACAGAAAACTGCAAAAGTTAGACAATTACAATGTGATGCAATGTTATTCCTTCCAGTGCAAGCAAACTTTCTGGACTGTAAAAGCAAATCACAATAATAAATAATGTCTTCATTGAGAAAATGATCATAGCATGTCGATGTTCAGCCATGGTTACTCTACCACTTAACCATACTACAACCAGACATTACAAAACATTAGGATAACAACAAGTAGTAAACATAGAATCTGAATATATAGGAAGAATAGAAACAGCAGACCATACCTATTATACACAAGCTACCATTCGGAAAACTGCATCAAGCATTCAAGGGCTCAGCCCAGAAAATGC